TTATGACTATTCGGATGCCTACCAAACTCATAACATATTCCAAGATTAGACTTGATTCAAGTCGGTCCGTCACATTGTGAAGAGGCTAGGTTACTCCATCTGTTTGGTCCCGAGGGAAAGGGTTCTGGAAACTGGTTTGATCATGAGAATTCTTGTGGTTTAGCGACCAATTGGGAAAATTTCACTGTTTGAAAAAATTTCCATGTCTGAAACAAGCCCCCAACGTGAAAAAGACATTGAAGATCCTTTGTTGTGAGTTGCAAATTGTAATTTGCTACAACACCTTTAGTGTTTGGATTTGTTTGTAAGTTTGTTTTAATCTTTTAGCTTCATTTGTTTTGGAGGGGGCAGGCGGTGGCGTATCCCGCGGGGGGGGGAACTTGCTCCTGACAGATTATTATTATTATTTTACAAAGAATACTTCATAGGAAAGAAAGGGGGCATAATCAGTGTATTTATTTATCAAATATTAACACCAGAACCCTGGGAAAATAACACCATGATACAAAAGCCAAGATGTTGGGACCGCGGGTAAGGCTTTTGATATTTGTTCTCCCCCAACATCATGTTTAAAGAGCCAAAATCCGCATTCGCTTTTGAATCTGCACCCCTCCGACACCAAACGCTAGATACACCGCTGGGGATAGGCCCCCATCGACCCCTCTGGAGCCAGCTTTGCGTTTCAGCCACAGAACAACACACCGATATTGTTAATTAAAATAAAATTACCACTTTGTACTGTAATGTTTGTGTCGCAACAGTCCTTTTAATGTAATGAGCCGAAATGGTTAACTCCGATTTTACTGTGAGTGTGGAACGCAACTAACGTGCATAACGTGCACAATTAGATGGAAGTACACGTGGTGATGTTTGCAGAGTGTACTTATTCCTGTCTAGAAAAATGGCGCGAACGACAAGAAGGTGTTGGGAGCTAGTGACCCCCGTGATGACATGATAAAGTACGTGAAGTACTTCAACCCCCTGATCCCCTTGAAACGACCTAAACTATTGTAAATATTTTTCTTTCCCCGTAACTCTGTGAGTTAATCCACAGAACTAGATTTCCTTTATGTGTGCTAATACATGTTGACTTTTTTCTGCTCTCGTGTAATTATTTCGATATCTCACTACTTGCATTTTCAAGTTAGTGGCTAGGTTAAGTCTGATTTTTCCAATGAACTGTTGCTAAGCTTACACAGCATTAGTCCATTCGTGTCGATGCTCCGCTCCGCTTTACAGAAATCCCACCGCGAACATCGGAGTTTTTTAAGAGTTGCTGGAACTAAATGTTTGAGCATTGTATCCCAAATGCGCTGTAAAAATTTAAGTAAAGGGTCACTTGATAAACCTTTTGTGTACATTAGGATAACTGAATATGAATATCGTTTCCAAGTGTCTTGTGGTAGTGAAACTACAATGTGATGTACATGGTTATAACATAATTATTTTTTTATAACGCTGTCAAATTTGGTGTTCTTGTAGCTCTTTATAGTTGAACCATCCCCTTGGGGAAGTGGGGCTCATCTATAGTTTACTCCGCCAACATGTCGTGGATCGCTTTGTAAAAGTTCTCCTTTTTCCCTGGAACCAAATAGCATAACTGATAGCCCTGTACTTGTGAACAGAAGTCTACTTGTTAAAAAAAGTTGTCATTGTCATTGTCACATTTCTTTCCAACTTTTTTATCATTGGAGCAAATCATTATTTTTTTATTCCAAATTAAGAGTAAGTCGTCCAGTGCGCTTGATGCTGGACCGTGACGAAGACATGAACATGACGGGGACCCGCCATCCATTCTTGGGTCGCTACAAGGTGGGACTTGCCAGTGACGGTCAAGTGAGGGCACTGCAGATCGATCTGTACTCCAATTGTGGATTCTCGTATGATTTGTCCTCTGCAGTAAGATTTTTTTCAACGTCAACTACTTTGCATTTCCAAAAAAATACACGAAACGTGTTTTTCACGTTTTTATAATAAGATGATAAATCTATCACTTTACTAAATTCTTTTCTTTATTGTGTGAACTGTGGCACAAATAGTATTTTGTACACTGAGAGAGCAAGTTATGATGATAGTAAACTGTTCTTGTATTAGGTGCATTGCATATTGAAGTCTCTATGTGCTGAAAATCATAATCCCTGCATAGTGGGCGCGCAACATCTACACATTCCTGAAACCATCACCTCCCATCACATCTCAACTATCTCATAATATTATCGTAATACGATACAACATTAATGGCTTGTACAAGGACAGGAACAGTTTTGCATGGCCTTGTCATCAAAGTGAAGGCATTTTAGATGGTGGCATGCATCCCCTGTCAAATCAGACCAAGCCCGGGGATATTTGCTTGTTGCAGTGAGGAATATTGTCCTATTAAACCATTTTCGTCATCACTCATCACTGATTTTGCTTGATCAGAGTCCTAATCTTCCACCAATGTTGTCCGAATTTTCCCATTAAACTCTTTATCCCATCGCAATCAGTCACTCCACATTCACCATGCCATTGAGCCATATCAACCACAACTTACAGTCACAACCGAAATCATTATTGCAAAATGTCACAAAGTTCAAGATGAAACATTGTAAGAAACCTGTGACAAGGGAACATCATAGTTCATTTTTAACTACATGACTCGAGACTGGCCTTCTCCAAATGTCTTATGAATAAGATAATGATTACTTTTAAGGACTTGCTGAAGTTGATGTGCGACCCGGCTTTTTCCTAATCCCCCCCAGTCTGAATGACCTTGCTTACTGGTGTAGGCTTATGAAGAAAAATGTACACACGTTTCTGCATTAGGGAAGTGTGATGACTTCATTTTTTTGTTCATTGTGAAGGTTATGGAGAATGCAGCTTATCATGCTGACAACTGCTACAACATTCCCAATTTCCAAGTGGAGGGTCACCTATGCAAGACCAACCTGCCATCCAATACAGCCTTCCGTGGCTTTGGTTGCCCACAGGTCATGTTGATCATGGAATCCATCATGTCCGAGATCGCCGGAAGATACGGACTGTCAGAATTAAAAGTGAGAGTGTTATATTGGTGGACATCACCCCTGCTCCCCATCTGTCCCTTTTTTTCCCCCAGCTTCATTTCTGATCTGAGCAAATTATTACAGTCGGTTATCTATTGTTTCTAGCACTGGACACATGAAAAACAATGGTTGTGGTTTTTGTGTACACAGTTATTAGATTGGGCAGTTTACATTGAAATAATTGCATGCAATGTGTAGTGCAAAAATAATTGTCTCCACTAAATGCAGTACTACGCTGTCTTTTCAAACTCATAATCTGTTATTTGGGGAAAAATTGTCATTGTTTCAAAAGAGAAATCAAAAGAGAAAGAGAAATTTCCCCTTAAATTATTGTATGTGTATTTATTTTCACGATAGGATTGCCTTGCTGAGTTAATTTGCATTCTATTCAGTGTTGTGGCTGAGTCCATTACAGTTAAGTTACTTTACAACTCCACTCACAATCCTATAAACAAGACCAATCATTAGTAACAGTGTAAAAGAATGCCTACGTCACAGTCCATGTGAATAACTTGTGACTTGGTTGAAGACAGGGTGGCTTAAAATTGACTTGTAGGTGATTGCCTCCCCGGGACTTTAATTTGGCTTGACCACAACTCTAGTCAAGTTTCTTTTCATTCTGTGGAGCAGCACAACCAGATCAACATTGTGTCAGTGTTTTTATGCCGTAATGCCCTTGTCTGCTTACGTTCTAGTTGCGTGAACGTCACTTCTACACTGAAGGGGACGAAAACTTCTTGGGCCAGGAGCTTAAGAATTGGAACCTGGGGAGATGTTGGAAGAAATGTCTCACTAAGAGTGATTATGAAAAACGTCGACGAGATGTGGACCAGTTTAATAAGTAAAAGAAGAAGTAACACGTGTTTGTGAGGAATTGGTTGCATGCTAGCTTAGCTTTAGTATTTTGGCTTAATATTACGAATTTCAAATTTCAGCTGTGTATTAAATAAAACATCTTTTGCATTTAATGAGCTGTACGCACTGCAATCATTGGAAGTGAAAGACTCAAATCAAATTCATCTTTTCAGTGAGAATCGCTGGCGCAAGCGAGGTATTGCTGCCACTCCAACAAAGTTTGGAATCTCATTTGCCTTCACCACACTAAACCAGGTGGGCCAAATTAAATTGCCTTATTATTTTCCTGATATTAGCCTGGTTTCTTCTTTTAACTCAGATAAGAAGTGTAAGGGCTACTCTCTAAATAGTGATTCACTTTAAACGCTTGATATGGGGAGTTTTTAGCTCACCTGTCATCCTACCTGGATGAATAGAAATGTTGCTCATGTAGTTCTTGCACGTAGTTCTTGTTCTTAATCCTTCGCGAGATGAAGGATGGATCTTGGCCAAAAGTAGAATGTGACACTGAAGTTCTCTCATTGCACCGCCGATTTTTATGCATCATTTTTTGGGGTATACATTCATTAACACAAGACCTTCCACAAGACGCCAGCCTAAAATTGCTAACAATGAACAGACTTCGCAATTGAACACAAGAGCTAATGCATCGTCTGTGTTGCGGATGGAGTGGGTTATTTCACATATTGGAAGAATTGGGCCATTTGTACAGACACATGAGTTATGAAGAGTTCGAGAATTGAATCTCTTAATATTATGACTTCGAAATAATATAGGGGACTATATACTCACTTTTGAGACGGCATTTTTTTTTTAAATTGTCATAGGCTGGTGCCTTGGTACACATCTACACTGACGGCACAGTTCTGATCAGCCACAGTGGTGTTGAGATGGGCCAAGGTTTGCACACCAAGATGATCCAGGTGGCAAGTCGGGCCCTGAGGATCCCCCAGGAGAAGATCCACATCATGGACACCGACTCGTCCAAGGTGCCAAACACCTCACCCACTGCTGCCAGTGTTGGTTCTGACCTCAACGGAATGGCCATTAAGGTAAAGATGAGGCTATACCCATTAGCACCTGATTTCATGACATGCTTCACTGCATCATGACTTGAGTTGGGACATACAGTGTATATGGTACGCTCCGCCAACCAGGATTCTTGAATTGTGCCCAAGATAGGGAATGTTCTGGGTTTGTTTAAAAACAACACATTAACCCGAAGCCATAACGAATTTCAATTCCTCTGAGTACTTAAATAGAATGACAATAATTTTGTTCTCATTGCTGTATAACTTTGGTTTGTAACAAAAATTAATTGATCTCCCTTGCAACATGTTTGAAATTAAGGACATGTTGAAGTGCCAGAATGCATCTTACCCCGGTAAGTCACAATGAGTTTTATGAAATTGGGTGCATGGTGCATGGTCAGAGAAAAAAATGACCAGCCAAAATGTTATACATAATTCATTTGACGTGTACTCTGCTATAAAGCAATGTTTGATTCTGTTCATATGATCAGTGGCTCCAAAACTGTAACTTTAAACCTGGAAAATTTTCAGTCACTTGAAATAATATCCCATGGCCAAACGTAGATGATTGTCGAGTCGTTTATTCATCCATGTTTCTGATCTGTCTGAGCTAGTGTACAATAATACTCGAGCTGTATTAATTCGCTGACATAGTGCCCTAAATTACACATTGTAACATCTGCCCCTTTGAGAGCACAATTTTGGAAAAGAAATGCTGAGTAGATATCTGTGTGATAATGACATTGTTGAATAAAGGAGATTCAAATATCAACATGCTTGCATCTTATTCAGTGTTTAATAAATGACATTTTGCAAAACCTTTTAGCGTTGACGATTGCACTCTTATAAATACATGTATGTAATTTAGATTCCACAACTTTCTCTACTCTTTAGATTCTAAATCTGAGGTTTGACTCAAACTGAAACGATTACGTTTGGATTAGAAATCATGTGACTGTTAACAATCAAGCCTTTAAAATCTTTTTAGAGCGGATTCTACTTAGGTTAAAGATTGTAAACACTACTCAAGAACAACTCAAACATTAAACTTCTAGGTAGTTTCAGATTGCTGAGTGTACCTCACCAGTTTGGCATTTCTCTCGTTCTTGCTCCTTGTTGCTGCAAATCTGCGGGTTTAGTTGATTGAAAAGGTTTGTCTTTTCTCTGAGGAGGGTCCTATTTCGCCTTATTATGAAGCTGTTGGGTGTGTAAAGTTTGTACGACCTCGGCTCTTTGTATGCTCATGAGTCTTGATCGGGAATTTGTTAGTGTTATTGTTGTTGTTGTTGTTTTTTTGGAGAACATAGAGAGATGGAATCTCCATGGCAGAATATTTCTGGTCATATTAGACTGTCTTTGTTCCGTAGCGTCTCTCTTCGTGTCTATCCTGAACATCCTCAACTCGGCCTTGCACGTGTTTACGGCTTGCGGCTAAGTTGGCTTGTGTGAACTGGTTGGCCAAATAGGATCTCAGGTTGAGATGGCAGTTTGGAGTCGATGGGGTTGTATGTAGGTATACATGTAGCAGCTAATGCCTTCTCTGCGTTTTGTTTTGACTTTAGGGGGCACTTCTCAAATGAGTGACATACATGTATAACTATCCGCATGGCGCGTTTCATGAAACCGTGAAATTTGGGGTGTTGTGGGGAAGATTTGACTTGGTTTACACCCAATGAATCACACATCTCCTTCCTGGTATGGTGTTCCAGCAAATTGTGGGCCATTATCTCAGTGAGGCCATTGTTCTTGTTGAACCAAATGGGCTTATAGTATGGGATGTCACTCTAGCGACTGTTTCACTCGTGGTATCTCTCAACCTGTGGATAACTGGGAATTATTAATCTACAGTAGTTACCAATAATCCCAGGTCACTGCCTGTTTACACCAGGGGGTGGTTGGAATCTCACGACGCTGGAGGGGTTCTCCCCTCTATTTAGTTGGGCCTCCTGTACTGCGTCACGGGTTATGTTGAGCCGTGGAAAAGTTTCCTGGCGTCTCACTTTTTCTCCTATAGCCAGAGTGGATTTGGCTGAGGATATCTTTTTGCAGCAGTTCTTTCATCATGACCCTCTTGCCTTTCAGATTACTATCCACAAGAATCTCAGGTAATGCCTATATGGTTACGGCATGGGGGCGGGGTCACGGTGGGCCGATTTTTTGTTTTATCTCCTGGTTTGGGTCTCTATAAGGGTCCTTTTGAAGCTGCACAGGAAGTACAAACCTGTTTGTCTACTACACAGTCCAGGTTTGCATTTTGCAGTCCTGATCGGTCTAAGCTAAGCTGTATGCTTACTCATGCCATGTTCAAGTGCTTACACAGTGGCCTAATTTACATATTAAACATTCCTCACTCCCCAGGTTCAGTATCAAATACTTTAGTGGCATTATTAGCATTTTATCATTTTTTGCCGTCAAGAACAAGTTTTGTATCTTTGGAAAATTTGTGTTTCCAATTGCAGCCCCAGAATGTATACGATCACATACGTGAGCGCTTCTTCAATTGAAAACTTGCTACTGAACGAGCCTTGATGCTGAATCATGCAGTGAAACATTAAATCATGTTATGCTGTGTTTTCAATTTTTCAGACTGCATGTGAAACAGTGTTGCATAACTTGGAGCCATTCATGCGTGACAACCCCAAAGGAACATGGGAAGACTGGGTGAGCATTCCTGAACAATACTGGGTTGAAATTATTCTCATAAACTTTAGCTATATAACTTGCACCATTGTGTGCCCAGTCTTCATGGGGTTTTAACGTGTTTTTAATTTTGCAACATTCTTTACTTTTGTGATTTTGTATCACAGTAGAGTTCTGTAGGCGTATAAATAGCCCTCCTTTTGTATGCGATTGACATATTTTATATTCGTGTTTGGTTAAAGAAAGCATTTGTCAGGATAACAGGAGAGAACAATTTGTCAGGAGAGGTCACATCACCGGATCAAGTCCCGCTCCAGTGGTATCAAGTGTACTGGTTCATTTCATTATTCATGCTTTCTGTCAGGGCAAAATGCTCGGTTTCAACCTCTACAATTGTTTTCTTCAATTGTTGTTAAAAATTTTCTCAATCTTTGATGTGTTTCAGGTGAAAGCAGCTTATTTAAATCGGGTTAGTCTGTCTACCACCGGATTCTACTCGTGAGTCAAACTTTTGGTTTGGTAACTTCTGAACAATTGAAGCAAACAGTCACCTTTTTCTGTTTATTGGTATAAGATCTCCTACTGGGTGGACCGAAAAGCTTGCAAAAGTTCGTTTAAAATTAAAGTACCTTACCAAAATTGATTATAGGAAAGTATGAGGCACATCATTTCCATGACTGAATTTGCTCGTAATATATTCTCATGGCGCCTTCTTTCAAGCATTTATTTTCGTATTTGTGTCTACAAGTTCCTACATATACATCATCAAGAGGGAAATCAACTTGTGATTTGTCTGTTTTAGGGGCCCAGATTTGAAGTTTGATCGGCAAACTGGCCGGGGGAAGCGGTTCAGTTATTTCTGTTGTGGCACGGCTGTGTCGGAGGTGGAGATTGACTGTCTGACTGGCGACCATCAGGTGCTGAGGACAGACATTGTCATGGATGTGGGAGACAGCATCAACCCGGCCATCGATATTGGACAGGTATATAATTACAGTGTTTAACTTACTGTCAGCAATCATTGTCAGTAAAGTAGATTCCAGTCATTGCAATATCTGACCAATGGAGTTGGACTAAGTTTGTGCAATTAGCAAAACTCGGTGATTAGGCCTAATTATGCAAATAAACATCGAACACTTACCAGTGCATATTGTGCTTCTGACACAGCTTGCTTTGTACTCGTGAATTTATTGCCATTTTCCTCTTTGTTACATGTGAATGACCACATTCCTTCTGTTGTTTACACGCCCTTTTTCTTGAAAAGTGGATTATATTAATCAATTAGAACAAAGCCTCTGTTATTTCATTATCACTTGTCCCAGTTGTCGAACTGATCTACATTACCATGGAGCAAATGCACTATACAGTTACAGTAAATAAATACCAAATACAGAATAAAAAAAACATTGCCAGACTCCTGTAATTTTGTTCCTATTTGCTTCTCACATTTTGGTAGATTGAGGGAGCTTTCGTTCAAGGTTACGGGATGTTTGTCCTGGAGGATTACCGAGTGACCCCAACAGGTCACTTGCTGACCAAAGGACCTGGTTTTTATAAGATCCCAGCATGTGGTGATATCCCAGCAGAATTCAATGTTAGTCTGCTCACCAGGGCACCCAATCCATTCAATGTGTGTTCCTCCAAGGTTGGTTTTTAAGATATTTTGTCTGTGTCATGGTTTGGTATATCGGTCTGTTTTAAGTGATATTCTTTGGAGGATGGAATGTTGAACAGATTAATAAACAAATGTTTATGACTGAAGTGGTAATTGAATTAATTCAGAGGTGACAGACAGGATGTTCTCTGATGCTAAATGACTTTATTCTTTGCATTGCGGAATTTTTTTACCCAAATTGTGACGGAAGTTGGGGTTAAGATTGTAATATTTAACTTAGTTTGTCAAATAGATAATGGAATTTGATTTTTCCTTTCAGTTAAGTTGTTCTTATATCATTATGCAGGCCATTGGCGAACCGCCTTTTTTCCTAGCAGCATCGGTTTTCTTTGCCATCAAGGATGCGATTCAGTCGGCCAGGAATGATGCAGGCATTCGTGGGCCATTCAAACTTGACAGTCCCGCCACCGCTGAAAGAATCCGAATGGCTTGCCAAGACCAATTCACTAAACAGGTAAGGATAAGCAGCTTCTAGACTCACTTATTTGTCACAACTTATCTTCGCCATGCCAGTTCAGTCATGTCAGCTATGGAGGGGGTTCTTGGAGACGGCAAAATATGTAGCAATAAAATAGTTTTGTAATAGTTTGGAAGAAAGATCCAGATTGTCTTTTCTTATCTCTTCATGATATATTTATTCCCTACTTAGGTTTCTGTACTTTCTGACAATTTTTTAACTTAATTTTTGATAAGGGAGTGGAAAAGACCGCTACCGCTAAAAAGACAGACGTAAAACAGTATGAATAACTTAAAATAAGTAATCTTAGTGTGAATGAAAAACAACATTAAAATGAGAGGCAGCGCAGAAGCAGAACCAGACATATTTTGGTGAAAAAGGAAAGGTGAATTACGTGAAAATAAAACGTAGAAAGTTTTTACAAATTGGTATAGGCCTAGCATTGAGAGGTCTAATACCTACCTAAGAAATGTTTATTGCATACATTTCAAACAATGTAGACAGGTTGTTCTGATGTCTGGTGTCCTTCTTCAGCTGGTGCATATTTAATTATAATTGTGTTCTAGGATACAAGAGTATTATTTCTTTTGTTTCACTCCTATAGTTTCCCACACCTGAGCCTGGGACATACATACCGTTCTTTGTTCGTCCGTAGTGTTGAAGGTTCTACTGATCCACGGAAGTTAGAGATAATTCGTCATATCAGCTACAAACATAACCCATCATGATTTCCACCCTGTATAAGGAAGACGTTGCAGTCACACAGCGATTTACATTTTAATCGTTACAGTTCCTGTGCCTTCAAGTTCACACCTCATGATGATAATTCACCAAGTGCGTTAAGCACTTATTTAAGATTTAGCACAACTAAGCCGTCATTACGTTAGGTTTGCTAGTAATGTTCTTGATTTTATGACCAGTTATACATTTCGGTGGAATACCGTGATTTCAATTGTTTGAAAGTTGTTTGCTTATGAAAACAGTTTCAATTTTTTAGGTAGAAATTTGAAATGGCTACCACTTGGTGGAGTATAAATGAAGGCATCAGTGATTCGTTCAACAATTTGAAAATACTTGCACCTAGATAAGAAAGCATCTGATCGGTAGAAACCACCTTTTGACCTCTGGAAAAACTCATTTTCCACGTGAGTTGCAAAGCATGTTTTATTAAAGTAGTAGAACAGATATTCAACTGAATGAGTTTGACGTTTACTAACAAAGTAATTTGGTAACCGTATAGCGTTTCCTTGAAATTTAAGGGGAAAGTGGAATAATAGGACACTTCTTGATTTCTTTCTTTGATCCGTAATATTGAGTATTATAATCTTGTGAACTATGTTTACGTTAAACATTTACTTGAACGTAGATCAGAATTACATGTAATTCAAACTCTGCCAATGGTATAGAAAATTAGAATTAACTAGAATCTGCGTCTGCTTTGCAGAAAATGGAAGGCATTTCCACATTTTAAAAGCTTTCAAAGCCTTCTTGTGGTAAGGAAAAAGATGTAAAATGTCAGTAAACAGTCAGATGCAATAATTTATTAAACTACAAAGCGACTTGGAATAGTGTCGAAAATTCCTATTGAAAGGAAGTAAGATGGAGAAAAACGTTTCTGGAAAAAAACCTCAATGACGTCATTATGACGTCATTTCATATTTGTAATGCAGACCTACATCTTCCTACCAAGTTCCGAGACGATTTGATATTCTGTTACCTGAGAAATAAAAATTCCTTCAAGCTGATGAAAAAAATCATGACGTCACAAGTAATCTATCGCAAATACCCTATTTTGTTCAAGAAGAATAAAATAATTCATAAACATCAAAGTGATGATGGCAACCTGACCTTTTCAATTTTTGCGTACAACTCATCGAACCTGGCATGAATACAAAAACACAATTTAATAGGACTCGTAGCTTCAGTATTCATCATAAAATGTAAAGTCAAAATACAATAAATTTGTTGGCATATAACAGGGACTAGAAAAATGAAAGGTATTTGCTTTCTGAAACAACTTTCAGGCCAAAAATTCAAACACACGAGGTCAAATTTTGTATGTATGATTGAGATTGACAATTTGCCAAAGTGCCACAGAGAATGGTCATTTTCAAAGTCCATATAAGTTTTGAGAGAAAAGTTTTAAAAAGCAAGAAAAAGCAAACTCGACAAAAGTCACAGCTTGCAGTAAAGCCAATTTCTAACATGTAGAGTGTTAACGTACACGTCTTACAAGTTTACATATGCGGCTGTGGTCGTAAAAGTTGTTAAGTGAAAACGGAATCTTCCTTTATTAATAGGAGGAATGATTTATTTCAATATGTCACTACATAATGCAGTGGAATGCAACAGTTAAGTACAAATGGTGACAGATGGGGTCACACCAAGTTTTGCAAGTGGACTTAAGACAACGATGAGAAAGAAAAATTATAGTTAAATTGAAATCATTTTCAATCACTGAAATAAATAAAGTTAAATAAAACCTAAAAACTTTAGGAAAAAGTGAGTAATGAAATACGATTGGGAATACAAGACTTGATAAAAGGATAATTTGTTATCACGTGTTGCATTAATACCGACTTATTTAATATATAATATATTATACCAGAAATAGTACTTTTTAATTTGTCTGTTGAATCTGTGCACCGTCAGAAGGGCAAAGAGGTAATTAAGCTGATTTTCGGAGAAGAGGACTTGATGTCTGTTTTAATGAAAGTCTTTCCCAAGCGTTAATTGGCAGTGTGAAGTTTATTTCTAATCTTGTGTCGTGTAAATGAACGGCTAGATCCCTGATAAACAAGGGTCTTAAATTATTAGGTAGCAGGTTCCTTTCAAATTTAAATAATTTAAACAATTCTTAAAAGGGGTGCAGTGTGAAACAAGAAGTTGTCATGACTCATCCATTTATCTTACTGTTAATCTAGTCATGTAAAATGATAGAATGATAGAATTCATGTTTTATAAATCGGGAAAAGCACGTTTCTAGGCAGCAAATTTCGAATACGCAGAACACACCAAACCTGGATGTGTGAACCTGTTAACAGTGAAACTTCCACGTTGGGTTACAGTCAATTGTAACAATTAAACATTTGATAAAATTTACTCTACTTGTCTTAGAATTAATAATGTTAATCAAAATCCGACTTTTTTTGTCTTCATATGAAAATAAAACCTAAATGTTTTCTCTTCATATATCGACAGTTTGTTACTTTAAACCACATGAAGGTATCCGTAAGATCTTCGTTTAGAATTAGAACTAGCTGATTTTAATGACAGTGACTAAAAAATAGGTACAACTCGCAAACAAAAGTTTAAAAAGGATAATCTCGAAGTTACGAATATCGTTTGCATGTACAATGAACCTAACATTTAGCTTTATGGTATTCATTTGGTAATCACTTCCAGGTTTGATTTGTTATTTTTCTATTCAACAAATTGTTTCCTGTCGCAAAGATAGTTAATGACTCAGTCGTAGCCAAGTTCAATGAGGGAGGTTCTATTGGACAACTTAAGAAAGGAATATACCATAAAATGGACAGGGGTGTTCGGGAAAATAAAAATAAAGGTTAGAACAAAATTGTTGGAAATCCATAATAACGTTGACTTCTTTTGACTCTCTGAACAAAAAGGTATAATTATGAATGGGAATGAGACATTGCTCAGGAGAACGAACGTTGCGGCTCGCGTCGTGTTCATTCTCCTGAGCCGGTCTTTAAACGCACGTTTAAGACCGGCCAAGCACATTATTTATTCCCTTATTAATAAAATACTGTAGCGAGCGCAGATGGACCATGCCTTCAGTGTGTAATCAGCTATTTTAATCAGTAGTTGCTAAGAATTGGCGCGCATGTTTGAAATGGAAGTGCATCGTGGTCACACTGTCTAGGCGTAGCAAAAAACAAAAAACGACGGAAGACTGTGCTTTGAGGTACACCATCACCGCAGTCCTAAATTAATGCAAGGAACTCAACGGATCAAAATAAAGGAGTGAAGCAAATCAAGGACAGAAGGATCTCAGAAGTGTGTCCTTGGTGTGATTATTTCTTGCTCGTATTTTTCTCTGTCAGTGTCTAAGTTGTGTCACCAAGACCAGTGCCGCTACATAAGTCTTTAGGCCGTGATTAGGAGCTTTACAATACTTTTTTAAAAAGCCTAGCAATAAGAATGCTATTTTTCTAATTTTTTTCTTATTCGGACTTTTCTGGGAGTGGAACCCGTCAATACATTTCAAAAGTTTGTCTTTTATCACTGAATATAAAGAATGAGGGAAATCAAATCTGTATAGGGTTGCATTGGGGTTCGATAATCAAGGTTAATAATCTTCCAGGTGTTAGTTTGGTACTTTTTTATTTTTCGAATCAAGAAGTGACTTCTTTTGGCTTTTACGCAACTTTGCTCAAAAGTCATTGTTTTTATCAAGATTTTTGGCTTTTTTGTCAAGACTTCGTTTTCTTCCTCTAAAATTCCATTTCTTTTGAACAGTTATATTCCTACTCGGGATTTTAGTCCTTTTGGAAGTTTGCACATTCATCAAATTTTCCTCAACCAAGTAAAGATGCCGATCGAGGTATGATGTCACGATGACGTCACCACATAAGGTATTATTACATTTGGAATATTTTATTCAACCCATCGACTTTGTTTTTACCAAAGGCCGTTTTGGCCGCTTATCAACCTTGCATATTCTTCATCAAAGTTCAACCAAAACAGAGACCTTAGTGCATAGATGGTCCAAGTAGAATAGAATCATGATAACGTCATAAGGTGTCAAATTATCAGTAGTTAAAGTTTGAAAATCTAAAATCTTTATGTGAAATCAATCGTGAGTTCCCGCAACTTGCAGTTTTCAGCAAGTGGTAGAGTAACGTTAGATCTACATTTTTGTCGTGCACGAAATTTCCAAGCGATTTTGGCAGAATTCGTTTGCCCAAAAAACCGGGAGTGCCTTATCGTCATCAACACCACGAACTGACACTCAGTAGTGCGCAAGGTGATCTCATTTGTGCGAATTTTAAAAAAACGAGTTCTTATTTTAACTGGCACCCGGTACAGTTAGGCAGTGTAAGTGCGCAATCCGTGCTTTTTCGTTTTCACGAACTGATGCCGATATTTTATTTCACCAAAAACGACTTTTCAATGAATTTTTGTGTGCAGTGCAGTTGCGTATATAAAGATTCATTATATTAAAGATTTGGAATCTAAAAAAAAGAACTGAAATCCTTAAGATTTAGTTGGGTTTCTGAAAAATATACACTAAACTTCTAAAATACGAGCTTTTTTAAAATGGCACTCGCTTAAAACACACTGAATTTAAAACTAACATGCAATAAATTTAACAAAAACATGTTCCAATTTTTTTACCCTAAATCTATTTTGTAGTGGATTGCGTACTTCGACCAGTATACCACGGACAGTTCACACAATTCTTGGTACAGACGAGGCCAGAAATGCCCAAATATGAACGATACCACCCGAATGGTCTTTTTCCATTCCCTTCCATTTGGCTACCAATTTTAATCTTTGTAGCAATTTTTACAGTTTTGAGGAGCATTAAAGAAAAAGTGTTGACGTAAAACTTAATTTAATATGGACAGGATAACTTCGGAATTGTTCTTCTATTCCCGGAAATCTGGGGGAACGGTGGTCACGTGAACGTTGGGTGATATAGGACGAGATAGTAAGTCGCTTCGGCGAGACAGTAAGTCGCCACGGCGAGATAGTAACTCGCCGCGACGAGATAGTATCTCAATTTTATTTTTGCTAGTGGCCCTTATACGCCTCCGTACCATTGCAAGTTCGAATCTTGAAACCTCTTAAGACCACATGCGCAAACAAGAGCATCACAAGACCAACGCAACACAATGTACCTCCTGTCTGAATTCAAGTTGTCGGCTATTCAAATGAACTTCAACCAAAACAGTCCATTGTTACTGTTTACCCTTTTATTTGTGATTGGCCGAGTGACCTTTCATGTGAATGGTCATGTGGTCGCGACGACAAGGCTACCCCTGTTCATTTTTCGTGGGCAAGTGGTTGTTTTCAATTGGCAAAGTCATGGTTAGCACCTGTATTTATACTGTCTAGTGATGCCCTTTTGTTCTCAGGTTACCAACTGGACGAGAGTTAATTACAAAACATGGCTGGTTTGAACAAGGTCATTGAAAAATTGGCAACAGTTTTGACACGAGCTCACCCAAAGTATTCATGAAGCTACAAAAATGTCCAGTAACGAAAGCCTCTCTGTCTGCAAGACACTTTTACGCACTTTTGGTTCCATACAAGAGAATTTTTATCTAGTATTTTTGCAAGGCAGTTTTTCAACTTAACATTGCATCAGGCCAGGGGGGCTCTTGCTTTTAAACCCGTGTTTGATTACTTAAATTACACGCACTGTGACTCACTTTCTGANGGAGCGAATGGATTTTTATTCGAAACCATGCAGACGGATTTTTCAGATACAAGGCAAGATTGTATGCTTTAAAATGCTCCAAGATGACAAAATGAAAGCCTTGCAACTTGTACCACGCAGGTAATCGGTTCCAGTCTTGAAAGGTTTCAAGAGCATAGTCTTGCGGAACATAAAACGTTCAGGTTATATAATGCCATGTCCAACTTACTTGGCTTGAAGTTTTTCATGACTGTATTTATTGGTACTGGCCGAGGCCACCACCATAGACTTGTGATCTTGGAAGTTTTTCTAGATTCTAACACTCGTTAGCAAATTTTATTGCTCACTTTGCTCACTCTTTACTCTACGTGTTTTGTAGCACATGCGTGAATGACAAGTGCATTTTCCTCATCGTAGGAATGCCCAAAAGCCATCATTATGATCGTTTTTCTTCTTTCGTCTTCTGCTTCCTCTTAACCAAATTCCATTCGCTTTGTGGATTGTTTTTATGTAAATCCTTTGTACGGGAGCGTATAATTATAAGGGCCACTTGCAAAAATTATTTTTCGAGATACTATCTCTTACTATCTTGCCGGGGCAAGTTAGCTAAACTAGCTTAACTCACTGCAAATTAAGACTCAGACTATATACCAGACCCAATGATTCTGACTACCGGCACTCTTCTAATGTCAAGGGTCCTGTATAACCCAATGTCCACGTGACCAACACTCCCCCAGGTTTCCGGGAATAGTCGAACTATTCCGAACTTATCCTGTCCATATTAAATTCAGTTTAACATCAACACATTTTCTTTAATGCTCCTCAAATTGTAAAAATTGTTACAAAGATTAAAATGAACAAAATTGGTAGCCAAATGAGTAAAGGGAGAAGAAAAACACCATTCGGATTGTATCGGTAATATTTGGGTATTTCCGGCCGCGTCTGTACCAGAATTTTGTGAACTCTCCGGGTTATGTCGGTCGGAGTACTCCCCAATTACGAAGCAAAACTAGGGTCGAAAAGAGTGGAAGATATTTTGATAAATGGAAAGCATTTTTTAAATTAATGCGTTTAAAGCGAATTTCATTTTTTTAAAATTGTAATTTAGAAATTTGGAATAGATTTGTCAAAAGCAGAACAAAATTTTAAGGATCTAATACATTTTTCTAGATTGGAATGAAGTTTTGAAGAGTGGATGAATTTTCATTGACGCAGCGTATTTTCTAGAACATAGATTTTTACAAAGCCCCCTCCCCAAAAAAAAAGAAGACTGAAACGAATTTTTAGAGACATTTTGAAATATAATATTTTGTACAGAATAGACTGAACATATTTTGAAAATGGGAACACTTTTTCAGCGTCAAATATTTCACACAAAATCTCATTCCATCCTAAATGAGAAAGCATCCAATTTAACATAAATCCAAATTTATTAGCAACCACGAATAAAAAGCAGCTTGTGAAAACTTACTTAAAACAATCTTGGAAAAATATGCTTTACTTTTTCAAAAAGTATACTTGAAGCACTATGAGGCCCTAGCCTCATAGTGCTTCAAGTATACGCGGCTTTGGATGCGTTCTCAATTCGGATGCTGTCTCAGATCGGATGATTTTTTAATAAAGATGATTTCTTAATTCGGATAAAATGAGATTTTTGTAAAATAAATAAGTCGTTATTTTGTAAAAATGTATAAATTTCGACAAAAATGTCTCGCCACGGCGAGATAGTAACTCACCGCGACGAGATAGTATCTCAATTTTATTTTTGCTAGTGGCCCTTATACGCCTCCGTACCATTGCAAGTTCGAATCTTGAAACCTCTTAAGACCACATGCGCAAACAAGAGCATCACAAGACCAACGCAACACAATGTACCTCCTGTCTGAATTCAAGTTGTTGGCTATTCAAATGAACTTCAACCAAAACAGTCCATTGTTACTGTTTACCCTTTTATTTGTGATTGGCCGAGTGACCTTTCATGTGAATGGTCATGTGGTCGCGACGACAAGGCTACCCCTGTTCATTTTTCGTGGGCAAGTGGTTGTTTTCAATTGCAATTCATGGTTAGCACCTGTATTTATACTGTCTAGTGATGCCCTTTTGTTCTCAGGTTACCAACTGGACGAGAGTTAATTACAAAACATGGCTGGTTTGAACAAGGTCATTGAAAAATTGGCAACAGTTTTGACACGAGCTCACCCAAAGTATTCATGAAGCTACAAAAATGTCCAGTACAGCAAGCCTCTCTGTCTGCAAGACACTTTTACGCACTTTTGGTTCCATACAAGAGAATTTTTATCTAGTATTTTTGCAAGGCAGTTTTTCAACTTAACATTGCATCAGGCCAGGGGGGCTCTTGCTTTTAAACCCGTGTTTGATTACTTAAATTACACGCACTGTGACTCACTTTCTGCTGAAAACAAGTTGTAAACAATTGACTTCTATACTACAATTATGGTACTTGGGGGTATTGATGTCTGAATGACTTTTTCGTGTCCTTTCCCTTCCTTTTGAATTTATTCTACTTTCCTCCTCAGTGTAAACGATTAAATATCAAACAATGTACCAAATTCAGTCATGGAGTTATTTACAAAAGACCATTTATTGACATCACAAAAGTTGCCAATGGCATTTAAATAAAAACAACTACCCAAAATTTAGCCTTGAAAATGAAGAAAAAGGGTTCATACACATCTAGAAGTTCACTTATGAGGAGTTTTCCCATATTTTTGTAAGTATGAACTACAGTCCAACCTCGTTGATAAGAGCACTGTTAGTACAAGATTCTGGTTATAACAAGGAATTTTTGGGGTCTCAATCTTTTGTTTTTCATTGTTTTCATCCCTAATAACACAAAGTTCCTGTAAGGTAATTGTACCAAGTCTGAACACCCTCTTATTAGTGAGGTTCGACTGTATTTCATTCAGTACACAAATTACCCCCACCACATAATGTGCCATTCATTTTACACAACAACAAAAGTCCATCTTATCACAGGAACAGGACCTCATGCAGAAGACAAAAACAAAAAAGGTATTTCAAGAGGTGCTAAATAATTACACCAAAGCAAACAGTTGTGTCTGACTCAAAACTATGAAATAGTACAAACTCATGGCCCATAATTTACAATATTTTCATGAAATACATTCAGAATGCATGTACGCATATCAATGTCAAGGGATGATCAACTGCCTCAAAAATGTTATTAATCTAATGAACGTTTGCACATTAAAAAAAATTCTTGAACAGATTTATTTAGCTGGTGCTCTCAAACTGGTCTTTATTCTTCAAAAGATAGCCAGCAAGATACTCGATGGGGTTGGGTGGCCTGTTGAAAAGAAATGGTAAAATCGCACAAGCGTTCATAAGCAAATGTATTTGCATTCCAAGCCATGGGGACGGAGTGTCTTTATGAAAAATTGATCTGGCATTCTGTTGCCTTCCACTGTATATCACATCAGTTCTTAGTAAGCATTTCCAAGGATTATAAGATACAATATAGGAAAGTAGATCTGATCCTCAAAACGTCCATATTAAAGACTTGCAACCACAAGGGTGAGCTACAGTCCTGAAAGGTTTCAAGGGCACAGTGTTACAGGGCATAAACCATTCAGGTAGTAAGGCCATGCCCGAATTACTTGGCTTTGGCTTAAATAACACATGACAGTACGGGTATTGGATGAAGCCATTATCATGGACTTGTGAGGAATTTCAAGTGATAGCCAAGACCCACCTCTCCTTAGCTAATGCAGACATCCCTTGCAGTAGTATGGGCACCACTGTATGGTCCAGGTATGCCCGTGTTGTCAGAGATTCCAAGTCCACTTTGGTCTTTTCCACTTCCACTTTCTCATGACTGATGATCTTCTGCATGTTGTCTGTCAGCCCGTGCTCTGCATGAGGCGACTCTGGTTTGGGGGGCTGCTTGCGAATGGATGGAGGTTTGACAAACTGAGCAATGCATTATACCATACAGCAAGAAAACTGCCGTTTGGAAGACATGCACTGTGCCTTAGGGTGTTTTTAGTTCAGGTGTATGCCACCAGTGTTGTACATATTCAAATCGTACTTAAAAAAGGGGTGATTGGTCAGGATACCCCATGATACAATCATACCATGGGGATCCATGCTCTATCAAATTATACAATCAATGTACATTTGAAAAAAATGAATTTTTTCACAAGCCTAGTGGCTCCCTAGATTCAGTTTCTAGATCAGTTCAGTACACAGCTTGCAAATTTTCCCATTTTTTCTGATACAAAAGCGACATTAAGTGACAATGTGTACTTACAGCAGTCTCTACATTTCCACCCACACTGCTTTCCACCACCTGTGGTGTCTGCTCAACTGCGATTCAAAAGGACATTCACAGTCATCATTAAACCAGTTTGCATGCATGACTATCAACAATTTAGTCCACAAGAACTGAAATTAGCTGCATTCGCTACGGTAGTATACATGAACTTCCACTGAGCATGCACAGTTATTGTGTAGGTACATGTACCTTTCTGAGGAATTGGAAAAATTCTAAACTCAATTTTATACCTTACACATTTTACAAGTGTAAACGTTTAAGAGAACATGAAAAAACAAACACTGGCTCAGTGAAGTAATGTTTTGATAAGATGGAGAGTTGCAAAACTTAGGTTCAGTGATGTAATGTTTTGACAAGATGGAGAGTTGCAAAACTTAGGCTCAGTGCGTGAAGTAATGTTTTGACAAGATGGAGA